TTAGTTCACGATTTTGAAATGCTTTCTAAACACCAATTTCCTGACCGCTGCAGCAAACCTCTAGAAAATGGATGGCAAATTAAAGAACCTTCAGATGCTTTGCTCTCACCTAAGGAGGTAAAGCATAAAAAAAATGCAGTTAAGAAAAACCGCTTCATATTATCCACAACAGAAGAGATAAACTGGCTTTAATACCGAACCAACATTGGTGGGGTAATTGTTTTTGACAGAATATTAATTTTTAAATTCCCATAACATAATTAATCATTTAAAAAACGAACAATACAGCAATTCATACATTTGCAATGTTGCGCAACCACCACCTCTACCTAATTCCAAGATATTTTCAACACCCCCCAAAAGGAAACCCCGAACACCTCCAAAGGGCTACAAAAAGCGGTCCAGTTATTGTTGCTGATTCTCAGCATGGATGGAGGTTTTTCCTTGCTGGAAAGCTATAGCGTAATGATTAAAAAAAAAATTGCTCAGTTTTGTATTCCCGATTTCGGGAATCTCGTTTTTGTCTCTCCAGGAAGAGGAATACAGAATCTTACCAGTACCGTGATTCAAGATCTCTGCCAGACGCGCACGCCTCCCTGCAGAGGCCGTCGGGTGAGAGCGCGCTCGAACCTGAGCGCCCGCTCAATGCGCTCCAGGAACAACAGCCAGAGTCCAATATGGCCGGATGGAGAGTGAGGGGGAGGGTCCCCAGGAGAGTGAGAACTCAGAGCGCGGGCTCAGCCTCCAGCCATAAAGCCTTGCAAGGCGCTGGGAGAATTTGAGCGCTTGCATGCAGGAGACGGGGCGCTGTTAAAGCGCTGAGTAACGGACGGACAAAAATGATGTTCTTTAAAGAATTACTGTCTATGCAAAGAGAAAAATCGTACCTTTACAATGGAGAAACCGGGCAGATAGCACCTTCACCAAGTGATCAAGGACGACGTCACCAATGACGCCATGTGGATACCATGTACCACCCGATACGAGGCACACGGTATGCATCCAACACGATTTCATACGGAGTCTCCACAAAATGAAAGCTCGCACCACAAATACTATTTTTTTTTTACCACAAATACTATTTATGAATGCATGGAGTGGTGGAAAAACATTAAATTAAGAATTCAGGATAATAGTTTCCTGTGGCGCGGAGGGGGGGGGGGTTCATTTGTGAGGTGCACAGAAGTATTTTAAGGCAAAGTCCGAATCTTAACCTGCGTGTTGAATTAAAAATTTTGTTTTATTGTTCAAGTTTTTTTATTTTGAAATGCTCCGAAGAACTGCAAAAACAATACAAACACTTCCCGTACGCCCTTCATCCCGATACCCCAAATTTAACATTTTACTTTCAACTATTTGAGAGTAAGTTGCTTACATGATGGGAGCCCTAAATATTTTGGCGTGTACTACTAAGATATTCTCTTTCATAACCACGCCACAATTATTGAAAGCAAAAAACTAACAGTACTAATATCTAATCTGCAGAACTAGTCAAATTTCGCCCGTTTTCCCCTTACCATCTTTTACAGTAAAAGAGAGAATTTTATGAGGAAAAAGCCTGAGATTTAATTTTTTTTCTGCTCCAGGATCCAATCCACGAGCACACATTGCAGTTAGTTATTATGACTCGTTAAATACCCCATTAATTCCCTCAATCTTGAATAGTTCTTCATCTTTTGTCTTTCACGACCTTGAAATTTTTGCATCGCACGGGCCGTTTAATTTTACCGAATAAACGTTTCATACAACCTGTTTAGGGCTTACGTAGTTCACGATTTAAAAATCGAGATTCAACTCTGAGAGAAAAAAAAAACCCAGCCCAGAAACAGTACATACACTGTAAACACGGGTTAGCAATTAAATCAGTAAAACAAGGCGATTTATGGAGATATTCATTGACATGTTTAAAAAATTAGCTTTTTTTAACATGATGACGCAAACAAAACAGTACCGAAACCGAAAACAAATGTAACATGGAAGGCCCCTCCCGTGCCAATCACCTGCACCTTCTCCGGTCCTGGCAAGGAGGCCTCCGCCAGCGGCAAAAACCTCGCCGCGTCACAGACTTTGCTCATCCGAAGACGCCATTTTCTGCTTCAGCGGCACCACCTCCCGCGCCTGCAGTCTCGCTCGGCCTCAGGCCACGCCCCCCGTCTGCGTCACGAGCCTCGTTCCCAGGCGCGGGCTCCCCGCTCCCGCCCAGAGCCGTTGGGCTCGGATTTCGCTCTTCGCACTGACGTCACCGCCTGGCCACGCGGGGCCTTCAGGACCGCCCCCCAGAGCCACGTGACGCCACAAAGCCGGCCTCCGCCGGGGAGACCGCCCCCTTCCCAGGCTCCCGGCGCCATTGCGCAGGCCCGGGCCCACCTTCTCGGCCGTGTCTTCTCAGGCCTGGCCCTCCGTTTCTGTACAACCAATCGCACCCAGTTCTCAGGCGTGAGGCTCCGCCACAGGCCCCGCCTCTTTCCCAGATCAGTCAATCCATTCACAAGCACTTCCCCGCCCCTTCTTCCCCGCCCCTCATTATCTGCCGCGCAGCCACTCCCCCGCCCCCACAGCAGCTCTGCGCACCTCCGCGCCATCTCCCACCATAGCCAGCGCCCCCCACCCCCGCCCCATGCCCCCCGAGCCAGGCTCGCAGCTCAGCCTCACCAGCTTTCGCCGCCCCGCATTCGACGCGCCCGCCCAGTGTCGCTATTCTCGATATGGCCCCACTGGCTGTCCGGGTCTGGCATGACTTCGCGCTGGGGCTCTCCATCTTTAGCCTCAGGAGGCGAGTTCCCTCCGACCGCCGCCATCGCCGCTCGCCCTCTTCTCAGCCCCCGCAGTGGGAGATAGGAAGCGGCCCCTCAACCGCCACTTCCGGATTCTGGTCCCGGAAACGGAAAGGGAGCCCCCTATTCCGCGGAGGGTCTATTACGTTATTGGAAATGGACCCCCGCGGTGAGGCGTGTCCAAGGGTTAGGCGGCCTTGGACCGAGGGCGGGGTCTCTGCGACCAGTGAATAGGCAGAGTAAAACCTCCCCTTGGGAGCTTTTTTAAAAAGACAAAGGTGTTTTGTGGGATTCTAACGCCATGTTGAGTCCAGGCAAGCGGTTGTTTGGAATGTGGAGGCAGAGTTCTCCCGGGTGGACGAGGATATACTGGGGAGTGCCCAAAGGCACACAAAGGTTCCCGGTCTTCTCTGGTCCGTGGTCTGCTGGGGACCGTGGGTCCCTTACCTTGGGAGCGACGTTTTTCTTAACATGACCAAAATGCCCTTCCTTCAATGCACTACTCTTCTCGTCCCTCAAAACCCAATACGAGAGGTCACAACCTCCAGGGCGCCACACAGGCCTGCGAGCCACTTCCCTGCCTGAAATCTAGGAAATATGTTGAAGACAAGTCAGCCCCAGGCCATGTGTATCTGTAGGTAGTTACAGCAATAACTAGTAATAGCCTTGCTTTATTGCAGGTATTTAGGCGGCAGATAACATCACCTGGCGGGGCAAGCTGAGGACCAGAAATATTCACTTTGCCCCAGCTAGTATGCAGAACTGTATTCCTGAGCTGTGACCTTAAACACCAGGCCAGAGATTCTCAAACTAGGCTTTCCACGGTTCAGGAGACCCTACGGGAGTTCACAAAGTCAAAACTATTTTCACTGTCATTCTCTCTCGCATATACGGTGGAATTTTCCAGGGGCTACATGACATAAGCCAAAAAAAAAAAGCTTTTTGGATGTCAACTTTTTATAAAAGGATCCCAAGATCAAGTTTAACAACCACAGTAGTAGTCTAGGTTTTCTCAGCCTAGGCACTGTTGGCCTTTCTCCATTGTGAGCAGCACTGTAGGATGTTCTGCTGCGTCCCTGGCCCCTACTCACTATAGATGCCAGTAGCACTCCTCAGTTGGGACAACCATGTGTCTCCAGACATTGCCAAATGTCCCCTGGGGGAAGGGCAGGATTATCTCCCATTCAGAACCACTGCACTAGGCTATCCCATCCTTCTCTCTGCCAGGGCTCTTGGCCCTACCTGTTGGTGGTAACTTCCATCTTTCAATTATAGTTGACATTCAATATTTTATTAGTTTCAGGTGTATGTTGGTCCCTCTGGCTCCCTGCATCTACCTATTGGCTATCCCCACATGATCATCAAACTCCCCAAATCAGGCTCATGGTTCTGGGTCTGTTCCAGTGACTTCACTTCACCACCCATTCCCACAGGAACACACCTTGCCTTTCCACGTCTCTAGGCCTGTGCACACAGGTAGGTCCCTGGTGTGTCCAGAATACCCTCTTCTCTACACAATTCCATCCCCCCCCCCCGCCCCCCGCCATCCAATACACAATCTCATCATTTACTTTTGTCCTGTTAACCTCTTCATGGCAGGGATTCTCTTTATTACTGTGAATTCTAGCCCTCTACCCACACCTGGCACAGGTGAGGGGGTCACAACTGTTGTGCAAACTGAGAAAAGGAAGCAGCCCTTTCACCTGGGGTGGTCCCCAGAGTGTCATTTTAGTTTAGCACTTGGCACATCGCTCAAGCCCAGCTGCATCTTCTCTGAATTGACTGTTTTCATTGCCCCTCTGCAGACTCCCCCTCCCCATTTACCTGGGTAGCCTGTCCTTCCTACAATCCAACAGGCCTCCCTCCCCAGACCTGGACTGGATCTCTCCGCCTTCCAGAGGCCAACCTCTGCCCACATCAATGACCCTGCACTTCCCAGAGCAGTTGTGTGAACTCTAACCTTTCCAGGATCATTTCACCCACGTCTCACCAGGGTTTCCATTACTTCCTAGATACCATCCTCTGTTCAGCCTGCCTTACCTGCTTCAATTCAGAGTTCCACTGTTGCATGTGCAACCCTCAGATGCCTTTTTTAGAGTCATGACGTGTCCCTGACCCATTCCCGGTGCTCTCCTAGACAGCGGGGACCAGGTACGAATTCGCCAAGGTCCTAGTACTCACCGTGGGTCAAGTCCACCTTCACCTCTACAGGGATTTGCAATCACATTTTTCACTTCAGACTTTTTAATGTTTCATACAGCGATTATGGTGCATTCAGGAACCCAACCTCCCAAACCCCACTAGGAGGGCCCCCACCCATGCCCTCCCACCCCATTTGAAGGCCCCAGGGTTTAGAGTGGAGGAAGGGGAGGTAACCACCCATCTGAGACTGACCCCAGAGACTGTCCCTGCCCTGCCTCACCCTCCCCAGGGGTTAGGGGTTAACACCTGGGCACAACTCCCCCCACATGCCTGCCCCTGCCTGTGTACACATACACACTATGGCTCCTCGCTGAGTTGGTCAGTTCCTGGCAGGGCCCCTACTCAACAGCACCGAGTGGGATGGGGGCAAGAGGGCTAGGCTGGGGAGACCCTGAGACGGAAGGAGGCCCCAGCTATGGAACTGCAGGAGGGAAAGAGTGGGGGCCCCCACTTGTCCATCTCCCAGAGTCTCCGGTAGTCCTCAGGTACCCCTGCAGCCTGGGATGGCAGGTGGTGGGGAGGGGGTGTGTGTAGGAAGGCGAGTGGTCGAGGCATGCTTGCCCTTAGCCAACCCCAGGATCTGGGGATGGTCAGGGTTCTGAATAGGGGCTGTGTCCCTGCCTTGGAAAGGCTGGGATCAGGGCTTCATTGCACAAAATACTTTGGGAGGGCCACGGGGGGTGGGGCCCAGCCAGTCTGTACACAGAGATATTGCATTTAAAAAATGAAAACCTCATTTAAAATAATTAAAAAAACAACAATGAATGAAACAAAAAAAGGCCCACACAACATGAGGCAGGTGGGGCAGGCAGGAAAGCAGGCAGGTGGAACCTCAAACCCAAGGCATTGCCACATCTTGTCTGAGTTGAGATCCAGAGCCTGGGCTGGCCGGACCCCTAGCTGGCCATGGGGTAGTGGTCCTGGGGGAGGGTATAATAGGGAGGGCGATAGGCCTGGCCTCAGTGTGGGAGGCTGGCACGGCCATGCTGTCCGCCGGCTACTACTAAGACAGAGAGAGAGACAGACAGACCAGGTGAAGGAGCGATGAGAGCTTTGTTAGCACCCAGCAGACAGGCCAATGGATGTTTGGACAGGCAGCAGGGAACACGTGGGCAGGCGAGCATGGATCAGGCAGGTGGGCAGGCAGCAAGCAAGGGAGGATGCAGTTGGGGGCTGCCCTGTGAGGGGTGTGGCATCCCTCCAGCTGCTGCCTGCTGGGGCCTGGGTCTGTGGCTTAGAACTCGGTGTCCACCACACGGAAAGCTGGCCTGCCTGCGGGCGAAAGCAGAGCGGATGGCTGTTGGTGAACAAGCAGGTAGATGGATGGGGCAGGGAAGAGGGCGAGGGCCACACCTACCTGAGTCAGGCATCGACGAAGAGCGAAGGTTGGCCTCCTTTTGTAGCTGGATCTCCTTTAGTGCAAATATGGAAGTAGCTGTGGGTGGAGACAGAAGTAGGAAATGACCCATGGGGCCATCCAGAGCCACCTCCCATGTGGCCCCACTGGGGGATTTAGAAAAAGCTGCCTTTTCTTTGAGAGGCTTAACTTTCGTCTGTGAAATAATCCCACACAAAAACTAGCTACAATTAGGAAAAATGGAATATGGACTATTACATGGCACCAAGAAAGCATTATTTTCTTTTTTATTATTAATTTTTTAAGTGTGATAATGGTATTGCAATTATCACTTAACTCTAGGTGACTGGATGGTGTTTGGGATTTCATTTGGATTAGTCCAATGGGGAGAGATGTGCAAAGTGGGCCAAGTTTTTTTAGGTGTGATAATGACATTATGTTTAAAAAGAGATTTAATAGACACATGCTGAAATACTTTATAGGTGAATAATATGTCTGGGATTTGATTCAAAATAATCAGAGGGAATATAGGTTAGACCAGATTCACTATAAGTTGATAACCTGATAGAGAACGTGGGGACTCATATTATTATTTAGTCTAATACATAAATATATCTCATTAAAAACGCCCATATTAAAAAGTTTTTAAGTCAGATGTAAAAAGAGAACACCCCGTATGATTCCATTTCTGCAGAGTACAAGGACAGGGGAAATTTATCTAAGCTGTTAGAAGTCCATCTAGTGGTAACCCTTGGGGAGGGGCTGGGAATATCTGAAGGAACCTGGGTCACTTTGGGGAAGCTTCTCACATCCTGTTTTCTGACGGTATGCCTGTGTCACGTGTGTGTTGTGAAAATTCACTGTGCTGTATACTTATGATCTGTGCATTTCTCAGTACATACTTTACAAGGAAATGTTTACTCTAAAAAAAGAGAAAGTGATACTTGATTATTATGTACATTTGGAAATTTCCATGAAAGGTAGAAGGAACTGAAAACTAACAACTTGTTTGTAATAAACACGTCACACACGTGAACAAATGTGTCCCCCCCTTAGAGGTGATGTAGCAGAGCCCGACAACACCTGCTCCCCACAGCCCCCCACCAGCCCTCCCTTCACCAGCTCCACTCACTGTCAGGAAGTTTGTGGATCCGCTCCCCCAGACTGAGGAAGAATGGGTGTTTCATGGCGTCCTCTGCAGAGATCCGATTGCGACCTTCAAACTGAGGTGGGGGCTTAATATTGACACTTTCACAGAGTAAGCCTCTCTTCCTCCCCACCCGGAACTCCCCGTATCCCCACACCCCCAGCCCCCAAGGCTGACTCGGGAAGTGGTCTCACCTGCAGCAGCTTGGTGAGGAGATCAGCCCCATCGCTATCAAGTCTACCACAAGGACAAGGGGACCTGCTTTAAATTGAGTCTGGGTACTCTGCCCCTCACACCCCCCCACCCCCCCCACTAGCCTCACCGTGGTGCATGGCTCAAAAGGGCCTCGGCACGGTACTTGGGGTAGTTGTGTGTCTTGAACTCTTCATTGGACAGGATGCCCGGCCATGTCTCCTCAGTTGGGGTTCCTGGTGGGAAGAGGCATTACCCTAAGCATCTCAGAGGGCCTCCCTGCATGTCCCCACACCTCTGAGGGCTCCTGTCTCCTCACCCAAGATGCGGAAGATGAAGTGCAGCTGCTCCTCCACTGTGGAGCCTGGGAAGAGGGGCCGGCCTGTGGCCATCTCGTAGAATATGCAGCCCACGCCCCTGGGCAGGGAGGGCACAGTGAATAAATAGGAAGGCAGTTGACTGGTTGGCCACTGTGACCAAGCCACCAACCTTCACTGCATGGCCCCTGCCACCCTGCCACTTGTCCTCACCACATGTCAATCTGGGTGGAGTAGTCTGTGGACCCGAGCAGGATGTCGGGGGGCCGGTACCACAGGGTCACCACCTCATTGGAGTAGGTCTTCGTTGGAATTGACTTGGCCCGGGCCAGACCTGGGAGGTGGAGAGAAGGGGCAGCTGGGATTGAGGTGGCCCTGAGCAGGCCGGGGGACTGAGAGTAGGTGGTCATGGGGAAGGGGGAGGCTGGGAGAGTAAGGCTGGGGGATCTCTGGGAAGGGAAGGCCGAGGGTACCAAAATCAGCCAGTTTGAGCTCTCCTCTCTCGTTGATGAGTAAGTTCTGGGGCTTGAGGTCTCGGTGTAGCACCTTCTGCCGGTGGCAGTAGGCCAGGCCACGGAGCAGCTGGAACAGGAACAGCTGGGGACCCAGGAATGGCAGGCAGAGGTCAAAGAGTATCCAGCATCCTGACTCCCAGCAGGCACTGCTCCCCCTCCCAAACACAGACACTGAGCCCAGAGCCTTGTCTCAAAAAGAGGACAGGGTCCCAACGCCCTGCAATGGCTCCCAGCTAAAGAGCCAAATGGGACGTCGTTCTGGGAGATTTGTGGGGTGGACTGGGTGAGTGGCCCTTGTGCCCCTGCTTCCTGCCCCACACCCACTTTCACGTTGTGCATGTTGATGATGTTCCCACAGTCATCCAGGTACTGCTTCAGGTCCTTATCCTGAAGAGATAAGATAAAGTAGAGGAAAGAGGGTCATATCCTGTCTGGCCACCACCCAAGTTCCCCCGGGGACTCACTGCCACCCAACCTTACCAGGTACTCAAAGACAAGGGTGAGGGACTTCTCCGTGTGGATAATGTCATGTAGAGTGACGATGTTGGCATGTTTGAGGTCCTTAAGCAGGGACACTGCAGGAAACATGGGGGGGGGGGACGGAAGAAGAGTCAGGATCCCACCCTCAGGATAATGACAAGGACTAGACAGGGATGAGACCAGGGTTTCCTTCTTTCCCTGTGCAGTTTGGAGTGGTGACTCGCAGCCACCAGCTCTAGCCCACTTGATGCCAGGAAGGTATGTCCCCATGTTCCAGATGTGGCAACTAAGGCTCAGAGAAGAGTATGGGACAAGAACATGGGACTGCAGCCCCAGGATTATGTGACACTAGATTTTCTAAACCCATTTTTGGTTTCTGGAAAGGGGTCTTGCTCCAACCCTCAGGCCTGTAGCTTCATATGAAACCACGTTTGCGCATTCAATTTTGATGCAATTCACATCATTGCATGTGATGTTCTGACTAACTACTGTATCAAGTAAGTTGGTGAGCACTTTCAGGGATGTCCTCGGAACCAAAGCAAGAACCTTGCTTTCCAATTCTTCTGCCTCTTCTCCAAACAGGACCAGATTCCTGGTTACCTTGATTATTACCTAGATATGTGAGTGATGGGCACTTTCTCATGAAGCCCCGAGTATCAGGAGGGAAGTACCAGAACCCCCCGTCTCACTATGGGGCGTGTGTGTGCACACCATGGGGAATGCCCAGGAAGCCTGGGGCAGATCTTCCTGCATGTCTGTCTGTACCTTCTCGGATGGCGGTGCAGGGTGCTCCCTCTTCATGTTCCAGTCTGATCTCCTTGAGTGCCACAAGGTTGTCTGTGAGCTTGCTTTTGCCTTTGTAAACGGTGGCATAGGTACCCTGGGGAATGAGGAACAGTTATAGGAGAGGAGCCTGAGGCTATAGGGAGTTCCCACTGATCCCCACCCCCATCATGGGCCTCCCGGCTGTCCCTCACCTCCCCCAGCTTGTCCAGCTTGATGTAGGTCTCCAGTTTCCCAAAGCCAATCTCAGACTGTGGAGTAAAGGGGACAGGTTGAAGCAGGCTCGGGGAAGGGTACAGGGGGGAGAGGAGGTAGGGAAAGAGGAGGAGGAAGAGGACAGGAATAGCAGATACTCACCAAGCTGACACGGCGGAGGCGGCGGCTGAGGGGCTTGTCAAAGATGGGGCTATTGAGGGTCAGCTTCTCAAGGTAGCCCTCGGGCAGCCGGATGTCAGCTGGTAGTGAGAGGCGCTTGTTGATGTCCTAGCAGGCGAGACAGGGGAGAAACAGGAGCATGAGCTCAACCACCTCCGGTCCAGCCCCACCACCACCCAGACAGGGGGGTTACGCACCTCAGTGGAGATCTTGCGAGGAGGATGGTTGCGCATGCGCACCCTCACTGGTGACTGCACCTCATCCGAGGACGTGGCTGAAGCCTGGTCACTTTCCCCATCAGATCCCATCTTCAAGTCAGACCCCATCTTCAAGTCCTCGTGTACAATCTCTGGTGGTGGCAACAGGGGGAGGGCAGGCTAGGTGGAGTCAGGAGCCCCAGGACACCCTCTTCCCAACGAATACATTCGCTCATCATACCGGTGTGCATATGGCCCCCAGAGCAGCCTGGGGTCCCTTAGGGAGAGGGTGGCAAGGCCTACGGAGGTTCAGACAGGACAAGAAGGTTGAATGGGGCAGGGGGAATAGTTACCTAGTGGAACACCAGGTTCCAGGGGTGAGCTGAGACTGTGGCCAGCCTGGGGCTAGGGGCAGGCAGAGGCAGCCAAAGACCCAGGGCAGGCAGGCGCCAGGGGGCCTGAGGGTACTGGCAGAGTGTAGGAGAAGCGTAAAAGGAGGATTAGGGGACCTGGGGCAAGGCCTGGGCAGAAAGCCAACAAAAGGGGCACAGATAGAGAGGATGGCAGGGAAGGGAAAAAATGGAGAAATGGAAATGAAAAGACGCAAGTCTAAGGGGAGTTTGGCTGGAAAGCAGCGCCTGGGAACCAGTCTAGGGTAGGAAGTGGTCAGTGGACCCACCTGGTGCAGAGCTGAGTAGTCCCCGCCCAGAGCAGGGCTCCCCTGGGGCAGCGCGGGTGGGGGCCTCTCCAAGGTCACTGCCGCCACCACCGCCACTCTCATCCAGGCCTATCTGTTCAGGGGCACTGTTGGTCTTGTCTACACTTCGGCCCCCTCGGAGTGTCATTGACAGCTGCCGTTTGATCTTCTTCATCCGATCCATGGCGACCTGAGAGGGTGGGGGGAGCGGGGCATAGATGGGAATGGGATCCATGTTAGCATCTGCCTGACCATGGGCCCCCTAAAGCCCATGACAACCTAGTGAGGCACACTGACACGAACTTCTGTCAGTGCCCACCCAACCACTGAGGGGTCCTGGAACCACTCAGGACCTCTGGAAACCTGGCATGAACAGGGACCTTTGTCAGTGCCTGCCTGCCAGCCCCTGGGGACCCTGCTCCTAAGTAGCCCACCTGAGTACCGAGTCTTGGGTGGATGGCGGAGGGCAAGGGTCCAACCGATGGAACGCAGGTTTCTAGGGAGGCAGCCCCCCTGTGGGAGCAGCAGGTATTCTTGGGCGCAGCAGCAGTGATGAACCTGGCCATGGGTGGAGAGGGGGAATTGCCCAGGACCTCAGAACAACTGACATAACCCTGGACACGCCCGTAGAAAGGCATTTTCTGCCGGCACCAACCCAACATCACCCCCAACTGCCAAGGCAGCCTGCTCTATATGGCCACAAAGACCTCTAACCTCTCCTAGCAACCATCGTCATGGTGACTAGTGGACTATGCCACTGATCTACCCAAGTGAGGGGTGTAGGGGGAGGAGGGTCTGGCCCAGACACAACCACTAATTGGAGGTGGGGGGGGGGGCTTCAATGAGTACAAGCTAACCTGCCGGCTGCCAGAAAGGTTCAATCAGGTTGGGATTCATAGGGTCTCACCCAGACTTTTACAAGCCAGGTCACATTTCTCCTGTACTTGAGAACGCACCACATCTCCCTTATCACACCCAATAAATGCTCCAGTCCTCAATGTGGCTCACATGGTCTGACCCCATTCACCCCTATTATCTCTCTGGCCTCACCTACCCCTCAATCACTGCTAGTTGCTGTTCTGCAACCACACCCAGCAGTCTCACCTCAGAGCCTTTGCCCTAGCTGTTCCCGGTACCTGAAATACCCTTCCCCCAGATTTCTCAAACAGTTCACTCCCTCACCCCCTTCAGGCCATTGCTCAAATACTAC